TATTATTATTATTATTATTAATAATAATATACTGGCAAAGTTTTATTTAGACGTTGCAGTATGAAGATCAGAGTTTCTGCAGACAAAAGGCAGATCTCATGGAAAGGAAGAGGGATGGAACTGTGGGGGGCACAGGAAACTTGTTCCAGGTGAGGGCTGTTTTATTATTATTATTTATTTTATTTTATTATTTATTTATTTATTTAAATGTATTGGCTGCCCAATTCCAGGGGACACTATCTCCACTCCCTCCCTGCTCTGGATTGTTACTTGGGCTGGAGCTTGGGAAGGTCGGGGAGGAGGCCTGTCCTGTTCCTGGCTTGTGTTGTATTTTTGAGGGGGTGAAGGGGATCCTAAATTAGTTACTCACGTTTTGTGGGTCTCTGTGGTGAGGAGAGAGGAGACAACCCTTGTCTGTTTCTGATTTACTGGGATTATGGGCCCCAGCCTCATTACTGGGACTGGTTTGGGTCCTTTTCTTGCCTCTGAGGGCATTTTTAGGCCGCAGAGACTGAGCCAGAAGGAGGGAGACCAGTCACAAGCCAGGAGCTTCTTTCCTCAGCTGCCAGTTTGCCGCCATTTTGGCCCCTCTTGGCAAAATTACAGCAAATTACTAGTCGCTTCCCATTGGCCAGGCAGCAGCAGTAGGCGTGGCTCAGCCCCATTGCAGCCAATCGGTGTTTAAGAGGGGTGTTCTGTGCTGCAAAGTGTTCAGTTCTGTAAGGGAGAGGCTGCCTTTTCAGCCTCTCCAGATCTCCAACTCTTTTTCTTGGAGGACTAGAGAGGTCAAATGAATTAATCGGGGTGGAGAAACTTCATGACTAAACTTCTTGGGGTTGAGTAACTGGGTTGACTGATAGCCTTAATGGTATTTGGTGAGTGTGGATTGCAGGATGCTGCTTTCTCCCCTCTCCTGAAGAGGGGTCCTATATTTATTTGGTGGCCCCTGCTGAACAGATTTGTTCTTCCTCGTCAAAGTGGGTTAGAAACAAAATTGTATCCAGCAGCCTTTGGTGAGGCTTGTTATCTAGATCTTCTCCTAAAGTAGAAGTTGGCTGCTGGCAGCTGATGCCCTCATTCTGAAAATGGCAAGAGATCAGACTGCTGAACAAAGCATGTTATCCCTCCTCGCAGCCTGGGCAAACCAGAAAATGGGGAAGATGGAAGACGAGAGCCCTGCCTGCCCGCAGGGAAGGCATTTCAGCTGATTTCTCCAGCTCTGGGGGCAATAACTAATGAAGCAAAATGGAAGAACCCAGACACAGATAGAGCAGTAGTGTTTTTGTTTCCAATTGCAGGGAATGACCATCTGTTTCAGCTGAAGGAGGTTTCTTCATTAACAGCCAAACAGGTGCCTTAAACCTGTTTTGACTAGAAAGAGAAACCCTTCAATCCCCAGCAAAAGGAAAACCCTTTTGACTTCAAGTTCTCTCTTCCAACCTAGCCTGTTTTAGAGGTCTTTGGAAGGTGGCAAAATATAACCAGGCACGAGCAGGTAACGATTTCGATAAGGGGCTAACCAATGGGCTATGTGCCCATTTTCTAATTTGGCTTTTAATTTTTTAATTGCCAGTCCTGCCTTTTTTGGAAAAGCACCTCTCAAGTTTCTAGATCTCATGGAAGCAGAGAGACACACAGGGCAATGCGGATCTCACATAGTGCCAGGGGAGAAGGGTGGACCTTCACTGCGGGAGCCTTACCCGCTACATTAGCTGAGTGAAATTACCCATTTCTCTTTTGAAAGCTGGATACAACCAGTAGCTCCAAACCAAGGAAACCAGCTTGCAAAATGTTGATTGTCCTTTGGCAAAGGGATTCTCTTTTAATTTATTGGTTTATGTGATACAGACCCACATGCCCATAATTATTCCAAGTGTCCCCCGTTTTAAAAAAAAATCAAGGAAATGGTTCCTGAACTCCGAACCTTGGCCTCCTTCAAGCAGCGGGACATTCTGCACTCTCCTCCGCGTGATTCCAGTGACACAAGGCCTCTGGGGTGAGATGCATCTTCCCTTCATCTCCGAATCCCACCTAAAGGTCTGGGGTCTCTCTCTGCCCCTCTCCGAGGCCCTTCATGCAATCTTCCCCAGCATAAGCGGCAGTGGTTGGTTCTTGCCTGCCTCCATGCCTTCAGCTTTTAGCCACTCCATCTTCTGTCTGTGTTGCTGAACCGCATCTGCTACCCGGTTATCTATCATGGCTTCCGTCAGGACACCATCCTCCGAGGCGTAGGCTGCGGCCTGGGGTGGAAAAGAGAGACACTGAAGCCTGGTTTGAGGGGTTTGAGCAATGTAGCTTTTCTGGAGCATGACCAGGTCAGCCTTACCAGGTAGACCAGACAAGAAACACGACCAGCTCAGCTAATTCTACTTTATTGTAAGGTTACTTTAACAGAATCTTGCAAGTCTGAAAGTACCTCTCTCCCCCCTCACCTTTACAGTCTAAGAAAATAGGGAGGGTCCCTCCTGAGACATTTGCCACATCCACATTCCTGCTGTGGGCTCAGCTGCCTCTTATCTGACCACTGTTTAGTCTGCAGCTCTTCCTCCTGTCTCCCAAAGTCATTCCCACACACCATTACATCCATGTTAGTGTTACAACAAATACTTTTCCATAGCCACAGAGACCAGGACTAGAAATAAAGGGTTCATTGGATAGATCTTCATGTTGGAGAAACAAAAGTTTCTCAGAGTGCCACCGGCATTGACTATAGTCAAACCAGAGCAGGGCAGCTCCTTTGCGGCTGCCTGCTGTGCATTCCGGCTGAGATTTGAGATGAACCAAGCAGATATAGAAGCTGGCTCCCAGAGTGATAAAGATTCTGGAGACTGGTATATATACAATTCCCTGCAAGCTTCTCCACCATCAGTGAAAAGACCCACCTTGCTGGATCATAGGAAGGCTGCTAGAATGGCAATGATCTTGTGGTTCCTTTCCATTCCACAACAATTATTATTCATTATCTAGACTCAGAGTGATGGGGAAGGCCATCCGAGAAGAGAAGTTTTAGCCTTACCTGCCAAGCCACCGCAAGCTGTGAGATCTCCCGCCCAGACATGCCTTCTGTCAGCTTGGCAATTTCCGAGCACTTTTTTCCATAATCAAACTGGGCTAGTTTTAAGCGCCTGGAGGCCAAAAAGCAGATGAATCAGCCACAGCATCGCAACATTTGTCCCATCTCCCCTAACGCCCCATTCATTTCATTTTTAATTTTCCACTCTGTGGGAAATCAGAGCACGCTGGCCTTGTGGGGAAGGAGACAGCGAGCTATCTCCTGAGCTTTTCTTTCAGAAGCTCTAATTTTGGGTTCTGTCTTTCATGCTTTCTTTCTCTGGCGGTTACTCATCTGGGGTGAAAATTTCTTGGCACGTGCCACCCAGGTTTGCTATTAGAGGCAGCAATTAACTTGAAAAGAACCAACCCAATCTGCAATTTCCTTCTGCTGATCTCAGCCCGACTCTCTTACAACGAACCACCAGAACGCGAAGCGCAAAAGATTAGGATCGGTACTGACTGTTTGCCCTCAGTGGCTGGCTGGAGGACGTGCTTGTCGAAATACATCCGGACCAATCTCTCCCGCTCTTCTAAACGCGGCAGCTCAAAGTGGACCATCTCATCAATCCGGTCGTTGATCGCCCAATCAAACTGCTCCGGCTGATTGCTCGCTAAGACGAGCATGAACCTGCAACGCAGGAGAAGGTTGAGGGGTGGGGAAAGGTGCACCCACCATTCCCGAGCCGGTTAGCAGTTTATCAAGCTTTGGGGCCTTGTTGCAAAGTTTCTATTTTGTTTTTCCCAGCCCAACCGACCTCGCAGGATTGTGGTGAGGATAACACGGAAGGGAAGGCTACCTCTCTGCGCAAGTCGCCCGGAGCTCTCTAAAACCATCAGGGTACACGCGTGACGATTAAAGTTGACAACGGTGGCATCATCTTTCCCTTAATGGCAGGAAGCCGAGGGACATTCCGTCCTGCAGTTTTATGGCTGTTATCTCGCGTCTCAATTCCCCCAGCCCTCTCTTGACAATGGTGCTGCTGTTTTTTTAAGACAGCTGCTGACAATGTTCCCGGCTTAACGGTGCATCATGAATGGAAACGGATTTTTGGACAGGAAGGGTTGGAACAGCAGCATTACTGCCATCTGTGACGAACTAGGGTTTCCTGGGAAAAGAGCGAGGCTCCTACATTCAATTCCTAGGGGCAACTTTGAGATTTTTCCTGCTGCTGCTCGGCTGGATAATGGTTATTCCCCCCTCCTTCTCCCAGGCAGTTAAAGGAAACAATTTAACCCACTATGGACATGTGGTTCTTTCAAATAGAAATCACGATTCTCATCTACTGTGGTTCGATTCTCATCTACTGTTGCTTTGATTGCCTTAACAGCCCTCTGAGGTTGACAACTGTCACCCTGTTTGGATGGTGGGTGCCAAACGGATCCTGGATGTTTAAATGCAAATTAAAACCCCTGAGTGGCTGTGTGTGATTAGGGGGAAAGAAAACAGAGGCTGTGTTGACCCGTAGGAGCAAAGCTGGAGTTTGAAGGAGTCTGCCTGTTTCTAAAATGTCTGGTGGAGATCTATTGCAATCTGTGGACCGTTTGACAGCTCAGAAAATAGAGTTATAAGGAAAAAGTATCATTCTGGCCTCTGGTGGCAAACTGGATTATCCTTCCTTTTCCTTTCCAGGAATAACTAAGCTGTCCCTAGCAAGTACTATCCATCTGGGTTGGAGTTCTGTGCTCCATGATTCCCAGCCAGCTGGACTGAAATCCTACAAACATCTGAAGAAGATACCAGGGCTGGGGGAAGTGAAGCAGAGGCAGGATGGCCATCAGAGATGTTCTAGTGAAGTGTTTCTCAACCTTGGTGACTTTAAGATGTTGAACTTGTCGAAGTCCACACATCTTCAAGCTGCCAAGGTTGAGAAACACTGATCGAGTGGATCCTGTATCTCTAAGGTCTCTTTAGGATTCTTTGATACATTTGTGGGTGGTCTAAAGTTGGTTCTAAGGCAAATCTCTCTCCCATTCAGATACCTCTTTGAGCTCCAGGGCCTGATTCTCCCCACCCGCTCTGAGGGTGATGAGCAACCCAAGAAACCAAACTCAATTCTGGTTGCCACCGTATCGATCTTCTTCAAGGAGCACACCCCGTAGCTTGACCATGTTGGGAACAAACTCCCTTACTTGTTACTGTGTTGCCCTGTCCTATGGAGGAAAGCGTTGAGTGTTGCTCGTAGGTCCTCGCTGATTTTTTCCTGCCAAGATAAGCAAAAGACATAGAGGTTGGTTCGGGGCCAGGGGATGGCTGGTTAAAACCATGGACAGATTGCGGAGAATGGTCACTGTTTTTGATTGTCCTGCCAAGCTCGGAACCAGGAGAGACTTTGAGCACAGGGCCACTGCCCTATTTCCTAACACTCCATACTCAGAAATCAATTTTCCTACCAAGGCTGTGATGAAGATGCTTGGAAGGCCCTGAATCGTTCTGCGCACTCCTCTAGAACTGTTACGAGTTGCTGGTCATCCTTCTAACTAGTCCAAATTAAATCCAATCCATCTAATGAGAACTCTCTGCTCTGCTTTCCTTCAGGTGTCTCTCAAACCCTTCTTGTTACTGCTTTTCATCGTTCCCCCCTTCTTCTTGCTTGCAATAGTTTCAAAGCCCCCAAGGACGTAGGATGATTTTTTAAAACCTCCACCACCTTTCCCTGAGCACCTGCAACTGAAAATAAACATGAGTTTATCCAGTTTCAAATGCCCTTTATTGACTTCTATTTCCTCTTTCTTTTTCTACGGCCAGAAGCTCCAGTTTTCTTGCTCCCTATTCTGGGGCAATAACCATTCCGTTTCCTTTGTACGACCCCATATAAATCAGGGACTAATCTCTGGGTAGACAGCATGCAAGATCTGTTGTTGTGGCAACCAGAAGCAATTTAGGAACTTCATCCTTTTGCAAGGCCCACACACCCCTCTGCCTCTGGAAAAGAAAAGGATGCCCTCTCCAGCCCCTGAAAATGGATCTGAAAAAGATACGCCTGTCTCCTTTTGAATGTCAGTGTGCCATCTTCCTTTGGAGACCACAGATCAGGTTGCAAAAAAATAAAATATTTAAAAAATCAGCCAATGCAGATGGTTGGCATGTACTTAATACTTTACGTTATGATGAGGCAAGATTTGGGTTATTTGCACCATGATTTCTAATGTTGACATTAAGAATGTCCACACTGTAAAGTTGAGCAAGAACAGGAATCATGGCAACGATAAGGTTGCTATTAATAATAATACCATTTAGGAAACACCAGTCAATTTCTTTCTTCCAGCTGTCAAAATCCTTTGGTAAGGAAGACAGTTAAAGTTTGGTAATGGTCTGTGGGAATGACCTTGGGAGACAGGAGGGAGAGCCACGGACTGGACAAGCGGTGTGTAAAAGGTGGCTCAGCCCACAGAAGGAAAAGGGGTGTGGAAAGTGTTTCAGAAGGGATCCTCCCTAGTTTTTCAGAGAGTAAAAGGAAAGGAGGGGAGAAATACTTTCAATCTTGCAAGATTCTGTTAATATAACCTGACAATAAAGATAGAGCTAGTTCTCCTGGTTGTGCTTCTTGTCTGGACTACCTCGCAGGGCTAACAAATTCTTTCCTCTCTTCTCCTGGTCTCCCCATCTGCTCCTGGAGTAACTTGAGCCATTCAGAGTCACTTAACTATGCTGGGCAGAAGGAGCGGAGAGCTTTTGCAAACTGCAAAATATGATTAACTACTGGGCCGACTCATCAAATTAAAATGAGAAAGCTTTTGACTGGCCCAGTGGTATCCAGGAAGGAGTGTACATATGAGAGAAAGAGGGAAGGGCCCTTACTGTTGCTCTTTTCCGCAGGAATGCATCAGCTTCATCCACAAACAGCAAGAGTCTGAAAAGAGAAGGGGAAAAAACGTACTTTATGGGGATATGGCCAAGGACAGATGGGCTGGTAGATCTTGATGCATAAAAGCAGTTGCCTATTCAGTGTCAGGCCCTAAACTGCCATGTACAGCTAGAGAGGCAAGATTCACAGGGCATTTAATCCAGTCTAATGCTAGGCAAAAATGATTAGGGTGGAGAATCTTGGAAACAGAATAAGCAGAATGTCACCCCTCATTTGGAAGCAAATTCATTAAGGCTGTGTCTCTTCGAATTGCTTGAACTTCTTTCTGCTGGTTGGCTTCTCTGAAGAGCTAACTGCTCTTTTACCAGGTAATACCGAACATCCGTCTGCTCCCTGTCCTGATGTTTCCAAATGTTGCTTTTTTTTCTCCAACTCTAGTTCTTTAACACTCACTTTTTCTCAGGCTATGCTCCTCACAACAGTGGCCTACTCCTTCTCCCCCATGCTCTTGTTACAATGAGATGCTTCACTACACCCCAACTAGCTGGATAAATAGCCGGTGTCTCCCCAGGGCGAAAGATTCGGGGTTCTGGGTTCGCAGACTGTATTTATGGTGATCTGATCCGAGCTATTCACATTTAAAGATCAAAGAAAGCAAAGCCATTTCCACTCTAAAATAGAACAGTGGCAAGATTACGACTGGATTTCCTCATCCAGAAGTTCAGTTATTGTGCGTGCATAACTAGCCTTCTATAGTTTTAATTTGATGGCACTGATACATTTATACCTCTCGTCCTGAGACAGACAAGGTGAGATGTAGCGTCGCTTGAAATGTGAGCAATGGATTGCTGCCAATTTGAATTTTTTTTCGCTCAGAGTTTTCATAACGATTTCAATAGCTTCAAATAAAAAGGGACGGGCTAATGTCTTTCCCTTCTCCCAATTTAGCATTTTACTTTGTGGCTTAGATGGGCAATTGAGTTCATGCAACAAGCTTTGCCAAAACCACATAAACCCACAGCAAGGTGCTGAAGATTTTGGTTGGAAAGCTTCCTAGCCATAGATAAATTTGAGGATCTGATTGCGACCTTCAGGCTGATGGCCCAACATGGCTCAGACTCTGGATTTTAGGGCACAAACAATCGATTGGCAAAAATCATGATGAATCTGGCTTTCCCAAACACTACTACACAAGAAGTTTGTTTGGCAGGCTTCAAAATGCTTCATTTTAACAGCAGAAAATTGTTTTTTTCCACATCCTTTTTTTTAAGCTGGGGGATGACAAAAGGCACAAAATGGAAACGTTGGGTGATAAATGTGGCAGCGCATCGCAGCAGACAAGGGGAGAAAGGGCTTGTCAGAACCGATCAAGGGACAAATTTGTCACCAATTAGTGGCACCAATTCGAAGTCTTTTGCTAACCCTTCTCCGTTCCCCCTAGATGGGACAGCATCCTCATTTACTGAACTTCATCTCTATTCTTGGTTTTCAAATGGATGGCAAAGAAGAGATGGGAATCCAAGAATAATGGCGTTGCAAAAGGCCCTGGATTATTTTATGCTATAAGAAAGGGACAGTCCTGGATTCAAAATAGTGCTTGCCAGAATCAGGGCCCCCAGATTGTAACCTGAACTGTTTTGCGCCAACAGGACCCTGTTAGTGCTTGACCACTCAACCCACTACAGGATTACCAATGCAAGCTATGAAAAGGATAACCATGCAATACATCAAAAACATCTCAGAAACAACCAACAGACTATAACAAACACACAGCATCACCATAGCATACAAACCAACTAAAGCCCTCCAAAGCATCTTAAGGAAACCAGAAGACCCAGTAGCCCAAGAAGAAAAAACAGGAGTCATCTACAACATGCAGTGTAAGGACTGTAACAGTTGCTACGCAGGATGGACAGGCAGAAGACTAGCAGAGAGCATCCACGAACACCAACAAGCAGAGAGAAGACATGACGAAAACTCAGTCTCACG